GCAGCCAGTGTTGACCTCCGCAGGGTGTCATGCCCGACTCTCTCCTTGGGTGCTGGCTCAAGTCCTCTCCTCTCCCTCTCCTCTCCCTCTCCTCTCCTCTCTTCTTTTTTTTTTATTCTTTTTTTTACTTTTTTTTCAGGCATATATCTTATCTGTGCTGGAGTTTGATTGTGAGAAATGTATGGCTTAACTATAATGGGCCTACACTCTGCTCTGCCTAGCCCACACTAGCCATCCTCAGTAGGTTGCCTGGTTCTATGTGTCTTTAGCTGTTCCATTCTCTGCAGCTGGGCGATACCAAATCACATGGACTTTCTGCTTCTGCAGAAACAAGCAGCAGAAGCTTGGGACAGTCTATATTTCCTATTCCCTCCTTTCTGGCCTCAGTGTTTTATAACAAAGTGCTGAAGCAGAGCCAAATAATGACACATGATATCGGTGGCTATCTGTTGGGCCTCAAACAAGTGTGTAGGGAGGAGTACATATTGCTGGGCTAAGAGATCCCATATGTTAGGGTGTGAAGGACGAGAAAAATATCTGGACACCATTTTGTACTGCAGATTTCACTGTTGGATAGGGTGAGTGAAATGAGAGAGAAGGGCAGAGAAACCTTTCCTTATTGCAAACCAAAACAAATATACTGAATGTTGTCCAAAAGTTTTTGGAATAGTCCACTATTTTGTGGTGTAGTCATTCTTTGTTGCTGGTTTTTTTACCAGTATTATGTCAATGTCAGTCATTATTTTCTTCAGTATTATCTAGCATTCTACAAAATCACTAGTGTGCAATCATCTATTTGAACCATTTGCAAATATCACAATTCCGTAAGTCATTAGGCACCAGTCTTCGTTAAATTACTGTTTCATATCTTCATTATGAACTCAGTGTATCCAGTGTTCTGTAGAAGGTGAGGTTGGGAAACAGCATGGGGAAAACTGTAATCTTTGCCAAAGTTCTTATGTTTTCCTCATTTATGCACATTGAGCAGTGGTATTTTTAGTACAAGTTTGGCACCATATCATGTGAAAAATGGCTTGCATGTGAATGAGCTGGAGGAAGGGTCTTTATCTTGCTCACAATACCATGAATAGTGATCATTTCACCTGAACAATTACCAGGATCTTTTTGTTTTCAGATCAGCTCCCGTACGTGGCCAAGGACATTCAAAGGCAATTGATGGCAGTAGTGTTTTTTATCTGCTCTATTGTGCAATGTCAAGCAGACTATCCCATATAAGATGAAGGATCTGGCCAACAAATGTCTCAGAAAGTATGAGCCTGGTATTTAGTGATATTTTCATGTCTTTCATGTGGACTTTGGAGAATTCCAGCCTCTATGCTCCAGAAGGCTGATCTTAAGGCAACCTTTCATCAGCAGTCCATTCATGTAGAAAATGATCTACAAGGCAGAGCTCACTTTACCTCTGGTGGACAAAATCTGACAACATATTTGCTTGACACAGCTCTAAAGGTTCTGTACCATGTAACTATCAGGATTGTTGTTTTCTTGATGAGAATATGATGTGAGCCAAATGCAAAATGGCTAAATTTGCCAGTGTGTCAGAAAGCTGAACCAATTGAATATGATCCTAGTTTTAAGACAATTCTTTATTCAGAAGAGTGGCCATTGAAGAAATTACTGTTTTCCTATACTGAGTCAGCATATGTACCTGTGTCTTATTCTCAAGAAGGAAACTACCAATATTGATGGTTACATGGCACAGAAAGTAAGTACTGTGTTTTTCAAAACTTCATTTTTTAAATTTAGTTTAAATCAGGGATATCTACTTATGATTTTTCAAAAGTAACTTTGTAAGTTGCAACCAAGCTAAAGAGAAATCCATCGTCAAAGGGAATAAATCTGTCGTCCTGAGACAAAGCGTTGTTCTGCTTCAGAGCTTGAGCTTGATTATATATATTATATATATATAAAATCTCAGTCTTTTTGACAGCTTTTGAAATTATTGACCAGGAGTTTACTTCACATTTTCTTACATATCCACAGTCAGACACATAGCCATTCCAACTTTTTTGCTTGCCTTTCACGGCAACTAGGTAGCAGTTTTTCTCTTTCTCTTTCTCTTTCTCTTTCTCTTTCTCTTTCTCTTTCTCTTTCTCTTTCTCTTTCTCTTTCTTTTGGTAAGGAGGAAAGGGGGGGAGAAAAATAAAAACTACCTCATTTGTGCTAACTCTTGAGAAGTAAACACCGTTAAGAACAACAAATCCTTTACATCTCCCATCTTTTACTATTCTTATCACATGTCCAAATTAGACACATACACTGTGTTCTGTTTCCTTTTTAGATAATCCTTCATGATGTGGTTCATCTCAGGTTGTGAGCTTCTGATTGTGGGCTTGTGACAGTGATTGCTGTTTTCTGGCTAGTGCCAGGAAATAAGTGTAGCCTATGGATTAGAAGGTCCCCATACATTTTTTGTATTTTGACACTCTTATGCCTGTCTAGCTCTCGTAATTGCTTATAAATGTCAGATCAGAACCCAGCCTTTCGGTATTGTATACTGCAAAGAATATGATCCTTTTTATATCAAACTTCTTATACAGTGTTACAGCAAAGCAAAAAAGG